CCCTCTGACCCTCCCCCCTCTCATGTGCTCTCTCTCATTCTCTCTCTCTCAAATAAATAAATAAAATCTTTTAAAAAAAAAAAAGTTGTGAATAAAAAAAAATAAAATCATCACATTGTAAACATTAAACTTAACACATATTTTTTTTAAAAAGAATTGGGAAGAGGTAAAATTACAGATAATAGGATCACATACTAGGAACACCATATTAAACAATCCTAATGTCTTGAACTGAACAGGAAAATTTTTTTTTTTTTTTAGATTTTATCTATTTGACACAGAGGGAGAGATAGCACAAGCAGGGGGAGCAGCAGGCAGAGGGAGAGGGAGAAGCAGGCTCTCCACTGAGCAAGGGCCCGACATGGGGCTCAATCCCAGGACCCTGGGATCGTGACCTGAGCCGAAGGCAGCCACTTAACCGACTGAGCCACCCAGGCGCCCCAAGCAGGAAAATTTTTTAAAAAAGAAAAGAAATGACCAGGATTCAGTAGGTAGCACAAAAGAAAAATACTTTTTATCTCTATGTACTTCTTTTAACAGATTTGACAGGTTCCCCCCCTTTTCCTAGATGAAATCATGGTGATTTAATAACTTTTTCAGACACTCTAAATACCCTGAAATACTTCTAATCACAGTCTTATTCTCTGATAAAAATATTTACTGTAAAAATTAATATTTGAAACTTCATTTAAAGGAAAAATTTATTCCATGTGACTGGAGCCTGCAGTGCAGAAAAGTACATAATCAGTTTCTTCTCTATTACTCAAACCTGTATTACTGAGTAGTTAGTATTTAATACAATGATAATTAATACTTAATAGTAAATGTTTACTACTTAACTAGGCAGATTTAACCAAGTTATTATGGAAACTCTATGGTAAGTAGGGTTTAACATTGCTTCTTTTACCTCTCTTTTCTCTCCCCTGTTCACTTTTCTAACAAAGAATCCAAAAGAATAAAAGGTCCTCTCTTGAAAATCTTAAAGCAATGCCTCAGGTAAGATGATGTTTCTTCTCTCTTTTCTGAAATATTCTTTTTCCCTCTAGCATATATGAGCATTTTCCCATCTTGAAACTTCCTGGAGATATGATTCCCCTTCACAAAACTGGTCATTTCCTTTTATTCTCACCAGATAAACCTGTGCCTTTTCCAAGTTCTTCTAATTTTAAATAATGTTCACTTATCAATTGGGTATTTCACTTAGCATCTCCTTTCTCATGCCCACAAACGTAAATATATTTTCTTGAATTAAATAACTCTATATTCCTTGAATGAACCTGTCCTGTCTAGACAGTGATTTGATGTCTAAGTAGTGAGTGCTTAGGAGAACCCATAAAAGGGAAAGACTTCATGTCCCCAGACCTTGGTTACCTAGGTAAAATCAGGTTACATACAATATTAGTATATGGCAAGAAGGGAGATCCCATGTGGCACTGTGTCCTTCCTTTTCCAACTCACCCTTCTGGATCATGTTTCTGCATTGGGTCATATTCCAGGAATGCCTTGCCTTGTTTATATCCCTCCACTCAGTAATAGATATCAAAGACATGAAAGTAATCTATGGTTGAAAGAGCAGATGGGGGCACTTGGGTGACTCATTTGGTTAAGTGACTGCCTTCAGCTCAGGTCATGATCCTGGAGTCCCAGGATCAAGTTCTGCATCGGGCTCCCTGCTTAGCAGGGAGTCTGCTTCTCCCTCTGACCACCCCCCCATGCTCTGTCAAATAAATAAAATCTTTAAATAAATAAATGAATGAATGAATGAATAAATAAAACAAACAAACACAAAGAAACAAGCAAGCAAGCAAGCAAGCAAGCAGATGGGAAAGCCTTTCTATACACAAAGCACGGAAGAGAAAGAACAAGAGGAGCAGGTCCGTGATGACAAGTGCCTAGGAATAGAGTAGGCCTTGAATCTCAGTAAAGGAAGAAAGGGTGTCCTAAGTCTTCCTTTGGACATAAATTTAATACTATCCACTTTTTTCTTTCATACACTCACTGGAGAATTTCTAAAGGATGTACGTTAGGAAGAAGTAAATTAAATCTGGAAAGATAGAATGAGATCAAATTGGTAAATACATTGGGAAGTCTAAGCATATACTAAGTAATAATTTTAAATTTTTTATTAAATTTTAAATTAATTTGTTTCAAATTTTGTTTCAAAATTTTTGAATTTGTTTTAAATTCAAATATTGTTTCAAATTGTTTCAAAATGTAATTTTTAAATTAATGTTTCAAAACAGATTAAAATCACAAGATAACAACAGAAAGAATGTACTTAAAGCATTCTCTTTTTTTGAGATTTTATTTATTTATTTGCGAGAGAGAGAGAGAGAGAGCACAGGGAGGAAGGGCAGGGGGAGAGGGAGAAAGAGTCCCAAGCAGAGGCCACACTGAGCGCAGAACCCAATGCAGGCCCATTCCCAGGACCCCAAGATCATGACCTGAGCCCAAACCAAGAGTTGGACGCTTAACCAACTGCGCCACCCAGGCACCCCAGTACTTAAAACATTCTAAGGTGTTTCGTGAGATGCCAGCTAATTACGAATCAAAGATACAAACTAAAAATTTAAGGGTATGGGGCGCCTGGGTGGCTCAGTCGTTAAGCGTCTGCCTTTGGCTCAGGTCATAATCCCAGGGTCCTGGGATCGAGCCCCGCATTGGGCTCCCTGCTCCATGGGAAGCCTGCTTGTGTCCCATCTCTCGCTGTCTCTCTGTCAAATAAATAAAATCTTTTAAAAAAAAAATTTAAGGGTAACCTCTAAAAGCGATAGACTATTTTTTAATCCAGTTGAGGGAAAAGAAGAATAAAGAAAACTTGATAGATCCAGTAAAATTCAAAGTAACAGAAGAAGCAAGTATAAGCTTGAATAAAAAGAAACTAGGGAGATGGGATATGGAGCTAAAAGGAGGCTTGGGCAACAGCTCTTGGAAGATGAAGACTCAGCAGGATAACAGGTCAGTTGTTGAGGCTAAAGTGCAGTGTCCTTGCTTTTCTCAGTCTGTGTATTTAGGAAAATGAACCCAAATGCTCACTGCAGAAAAGAAAAGGGAAGAATTGGTTGAAGATTCAGGCCTATTACTTTCTACTCCCTGCCCTCCCATTACTCCCATTTTAGAGGTTTATGGGGCCTAAAGGATGAGTGTGAAGTTTTTGTATAATTTGATGTAGAAATGGGCTGCCTCCTGACCAGCAGATATTCCCAGATCCAAGCTCATGTGGAGAGAGTCAGTTACAGGTTAATGTTCCTGAGTTCTGGGGTCAAACAGATCTAGATTCCAGTCCCCACCTGAACCATTTTTGGTTGTATATATCCTTTAATATCACTGAGACTCATTCTCTTCAGATAAAAAATGAAGATGTGCTGCTGCTCTGCCTATTCTCTGTAAATGAAGGGCATTTATAAAAAATATAAAGTGCCTGCAGTGTAGTCATTCAGTAAATTAGTGTTTTTCTACCTGTATGTCCCAAAACTAAGAAAATACCTGGAAAATTATATAACATAAGGCACTATGCACACCAAAAGAGTTACTATGAATTCTTGTTGATTAACTACTTTAAATCACATTGATATGCCCTCTTTCCTTTATTCTTCAGCAGTGGCAACAGGGGAGGTTGGGTTTTGGTGGGATAGGAGGTATTGACAGCCTGGATCCTCACTGGATCCATTACCGGATGTGATGG